AAACAACAACCGCATATCTCTAAATTTCTATAAGTTTTATTGAAAAAGAAAAGGTTTAAAAATGTATAGCTGGTAATTTTTTTATTAAGGTTGATCTAATTCAATTTTTCCAAATATAGTTTGTGGTAAATTCTTAAAAATTTTTAGAATCCATAGAAAATTTAAAGAGAATTTATCCATTATTATAATGGTTTTCATTCGAAATTTATATGTATATAAACAATTTGAGTGCTTCATAATAACCCCATCGTACTCAGAAATAAATTTTATCAAAACTTTGAATAATTAAACTTTGACATTATTCTCTTAAATTTTAATAATAAACAAAAAAAAATCGTGCCAATGATTAAATATAAATTTTGTTAAAAGTTGTTAGACAAGTATATACAATAGTATAACAATAGTATAATAAGTATATATGTGTTTATATTGCACACGTATATTGTTATATATTACTATAGTGCTTTTGAATTTAGACAGAAGGTTAATGATAATGATAGTTTTCAAACACTTGAATGAGTGCTAAACTTATAATACTTTTATGGCATATGCGATTTTGAATTTCTCTATATAGATATAATCATGAGTATAGGTATATGGAAACGTTTTTTAATATATGTAACAATATAAATGTAGGAATAAATATTATATAGGTATTTGCAAATATGAATAAAGAAATTTCAATAAAATTAAAATGATTCATCCCAGAGGCTTCAAGTTTTTGTAATTTTTAAAATTTTCCTTTATTATTTTGCTCATATTTTTAATAAAACTATATAAAATACGTATATAATGCATAAAAATGTACACAAATTTAATTTATGTAAATTTATGTGAGGTTGAAATATAAGGCTAATTAGTTTTAGGATAATTTTTTTTTTATGACTTGTTGTTAAAATAAGAATTCTTGTAGAAAATTTTTTAAAATATTAAGAAAAATTTTTATAAAGGAGAAGTCGTACAAGCAGATGTATATATTATAAACTTACAAAACCTATAAACTTGATTTTTAATAGTTATGCTCCAAAAGTTATGGTATATCGACACATTTGCCACATAAATATAAAGTTAACCATTTTAATCGAAGGTTTTACTTTGATTTAATTTTATGAAATTTGAAATTTTTGATCTTAACCTAATAATATTGAAAACAGTGTTCTATATAGATTCAAAACTGAGATATAGTATTACTGTACAATGCAACATGCAATAATATAGGTTCTCACATAAATTTTGTATGTTATAATGATTTATTGCATCATTGAATTTCGTATAGATTCAATTTAAATGGAATTTGGTTAACACATTCTCTTATTTAGAAATTTCTAAAAAGCCATCCATATATGTACGCATATAGAATGTTATTATGTAGAAAAAATGTCTGCACTGTAAGCAGTATCGATCACATTTTATATCTCACGAATTACACATGAATAAATCAACAACTAAACCAACGTGTTATTAGTCTGACCGAATAATTTCCAAAACATGTGAAAATTTCAAATTTTATAGTTAGTATGTAGGCTATTGCACCTATAAAATCTCAAAACCAAATCTTCCTGAAGTAAAAAGAGTGTATTTCTCACAAAAATTACGAGTCATTATTACGAATATATCTGAAGTGAAAATTTTAATCATGTCATTTACTTACGTACATGTTTTAAATTTATCGAACAAAGTCTACTCGAAAAGTTATCCAATATGTTGCGATTTGTCAAGCAACCAGTAATTTGTTTGAAACTCAGGTACATATAAGATTTGAAGAGCTAATAAAAATATTATATTTTCCTTAAAAATAAAGATTATAATTTATATTCGAAATTTTCATAATATGCATATGAATTCGAAATTTATGAAATTTTGTGCTGAAATTTTCAATTTATTCACAAATCAATTTAATATTTATAGTATAGGTAATCGAATAAACAAATTTCATAGAAATATACATACATACATGTATAAACATTTATTTGGACATTGAATCAATTGAGTAAAATCATTTAATAAAATCTATATTCTGTGTAAACTTTATAATATGTACACCTAAAGGATTTTATGTTGAAAACAATATTTTAATTATTCATAAGTTTAACTTTTTCATTAATTAGATTTTGTAATTAAATATTTATCGATTCGTTATTGAACATTTATCACCGATTGATTCTATCATCAAATATCATTAAGGAATCAATATCCTTTCCAATAATGTTATACATAATAATATCATGGTATATAAATGGTATGGTCCTATACAATTTCTTTATTTATTTTCTTCTCAATAATAACAAAAAGAAAAGAAAACTTAATATATATTTTGTATATATTCTAGACATTTAATATTCATATTATTTTACATTTATTCGAAATCATATACGAATATTGTTTCACAATTTGAATATTTTAGTTTGTTATATAAAGATAATCAAATTTATACAAATTTTACATGATTTTCCTTTGGTTTTGTTATCCTTTTCAAAGAATATTCCATAATTAATTTTCGTATTTTACACTATAATTTTTCGTAAATAAGAAAATTTATGAGAAAAGAAAGATTACGTGTATGTTTTCAATGGGATTGCGATTTTGTTAATGAACTGTTATTTTACGGTGAAGTTTAAAGAACATGTAAAGACAACGCTGGATCTTTCATATATGAAAACTAAATATGAGAAATGAGTGCTGGAAAACAGGGGAGCAATAATTGTGAAATGTTTGTTGTTTATCGTTCATTGAGTTGAAAGCAAGGGAGTGCATTTTTTTGGAAACCATGTAGGGGCAGAAGAAAACAGACCCGGACCTGTGTAGGGCTGCTTAAAATTATAGCAGTATTAAATTGAAGAATATCAAAGTAAGATTATATTATTTATGGAATTAACTCAATGTATTATGGGTCGACGTGAGTGGGGCCTAGGGGCCTCGGTCCCCGTGGAGAAAAAAAAAAACTCAATGTATTAGATTAGACTATAAATTGGATGCTTAAGAATTTTCTTTCTTTAAAATTTTGGCATTTGAAATTAAATAATCTTAAAACATAAATACCATTGTGATATATATTGATATAAAATTTTAATTATATCCTGAATATTAACGTGACATTAACACCAAAACCTACTCTATTAAAAAATATTCTACTCTTAAAAATCGAAAAATAATTTACACTTGCAGAATGAACGTAGTACTTAGCCAGTGATATATACAATATTGGATAATTTAAATATCAATAAATAGAATAAGTACTTTTTTTATTTTTTTTTTTTTGAATAGTGAACAGCTTTCTATCTTCAAAGTTTATTTGGCTATATCTCAGAAACTATAAAAGCGATGGCACTGAAATTTCACACAAGCAAATATATTAGTAGGGCCAATGTGTTTGATAAAAGTCGTTGAAATTGCTTTGCTCTTTCTGGTAGCTGCCATACAACTTAAATAGTAGTTTGGCACACACAGTATTTTGAAAAACACACAGTACTGAAATTTTGCATATATTAATATGGTAATACGGCAACTTAAAGTCATAGTCTGTCCCATGGTCAGTTATGGCATCTTTATTTGCACATAGGATAACAAATTCGTACGGGTATCACAGAGTTGACAAGGTCAACTCTATTTTTTTTCTCGTTTTTAATTGATTCCAAAAATTTTTTAAAAAAATTTTCGTTAATATTTTTTAAATTTTCGTATAAAGGTGCATTTTTATTGCATTTGCTTTTACTATATATATTCACAAACTTACATACATTGTACACATAGTACACAATGTTTGAATCTATACATTCTTACATTCATATAACATTGTTATGTAAGAGCATTTATAAATTAAATGTAATGCGAAAAGTGAATATATACGAAAATTTACAATCTAGCTTAAAATTATATAATTACATACATGTATTGCACAAGAGTACTTATAGCAGGAAGCACATTATATCATTCGGTATGCTATACAACAAAATCAAATTTAACGCTAGACAGTAAAAATTTTTGATTCAATCTGTGTACTTAAATTTCAGGTTTTAAAATTTCATATTATATTAGGTTTCTTCTTGGTGAAATCTTTTCTATTACTTATACATAAATAACTACATAATATACAAGTATAACACAATATGTAGTGGTGACACAAGTATACTTTCATTTGTAAATCCTTTATAAGGATATAATTGTAAAATTTAAGAAGGATAATTATTATGAAGACAAGTTGTTGTTAAAAGAATTACAAAGAAAATTTTTAACTCTTATTTTTGATTATTTTTTTTAGTTATTTTTCTTGTTCCTGTCTCTATTTCTTTTCTATTTATTTTGATTTTTTTCTTTTTTTTTTACCGTAATATCACATTTCTTATTTTGGTTTTATTACTGTTGACTGCTTTATATTTTGTATGCCGTTAAAATTGTTTATATGAACTATAATATACACATATGATTATATTGGTATAAAGATGTTGGTATACGATATGCCTACACAATACATGAGAATTTCTTATTGTATAATGCTACTATAAAACATGAACATGAGGCTGTGGAAAAGTATATATAATTCTAGGTATTTTTTTTTATTTCTTTATTCACCCTCAAAAGGTGACAATTACATACATTCCTTGATTTCAACTTAAAGTATTTTTTTTTTGTTGAAATTAAGGTGAATATAAAATGGTATTTGCGTTAACGGGTTGATTTTCTTTATTTTTATTTTATTTTTGATTAAAATTAAGAAATTAAGACCAGTGATTTTCTTATACCTTCTTTAAAAAAAAACAAGAAATTTCGTTTTCACTTGCTTTCTTTATACGAAATAATGTTAACATAAAGAGCCTGTAATGCGTATAATTGAAATTGAAGAGCTGTACGATATAGAGAAAGCGAAGGGGTTAAAAGAACGAGAGCAAGAGAAAATGGATTTTTTTTTTCAAAGGTATATAAATTTTTTAAGGATATCATGAAATGATTTTTATGAGATTTTATAAAATTCTTATATATGTACAGATTGTACATGTAAAAGAATGGATGAAGAAGTAATAAAGTAAGAAAAAATTTCATAGTGGTTATCGTATAATACTAGCAAAAGTATATGATGGAATTTAATTAAAGTGAACATTAAAAAGTGTTTTTGTGTGACTATAAAAATAAGGGTAACATTGTTTTGTTTTTGTTATTTGAAAAATTAAGAGAGCTGCTTTAGGTTTACTATTACAGTTTATTTAAGTTATTAACTTTTAGTGATATAAAAAGCTTATTTACATGCTTATAAAATTGAAGCTAAAGAAAAATTCTTTTAAATAATAAACTGTGGTTTTTATTTTTCTGCCTTTAATGTATTATTATATTGTGTGTGTATGTATGTGGGTGTGTAGTGTTTAAACTACTTGTTGCATAATATATGCAATTTTAAAACTCAAATTGTTCTCCAAAAAAGAATTTTGCATTATAAAAGTCTTCTTTTTCGGTAATTCATTATACTTTTATACTTTTTGTTTTTCATGAATCTTTTAAATAATTGGAAAATTATAGCGGTTGACTAAATTTTAATTCGTAAAAAAAATTAATATGATTTGAATTCATAGATTATTTTTGTAAAAAATTTGAAGAGCAACTGGAGTAAATTTTGAAAATTTCGGATTAAGAGGTTTTATCTCAATATTTTTGTTAACAGTTAGACTTTTCCTTTTAACAGTTTCTAATCGAAGAAAAGTAAAAAGTTATTAATTAATTTAATTGAAATTATCTGCATAATAAGTCGTGCATACGGTCATTTTAGAATTATAGCGTAAGAGTGATAAAAAGATGAAATTTTTTGTATACATAGATTTTAACTAGAAACTTTTTTCTGTAAAAAAATCCCCACACAAGACCTTAAAATGACATTTCTTGACTATTAATTGTAACTAAACCGGAAATATTTTTAAGATTTTGCAATTGAGGAAGAGAAATGGCAGATATCTTCCATAGTGACGAAGCATAAGTGATTTCTAAAAATACAAAATGGCCGTTAAAATTAACAGTTATCTAAAATCCGTTTCTTTAAAATTTTTTATATTGTTTTCCTCCTGCCCAATAAACTGTAGGAGCTTGGAGTTTCAACAACTTTTAGATATTCATCCCGAAATTTTTTAAATAATTGAATTTTCTGAACCTTATATTTCCGAAAAAGATTTCTGAAACTGATAAATATCATGAAACATAATTATTTTTCTTAACCCTTAAATTCGAGCATTGTGTTAACGTTCCTTTAATTTTTTTTTGTACAATGTAGATTTACTGTAAAAGAAAAAGACTTGTTGAAGAAAAAAGTGCTACTTTAAAAATCGCTGATTAGATTTTATTGCAAATCTTTGATATTAGATTAACTTGAACAAAAAATATGAAAAAAATTTACCCCATGATTGTGTCTTTGTATTCTACTATTCTGTTTTAATCATCATTAAAAATATTTTGTTTGAGTTGATAATTTCATGAAGTATAAAGGACATTTATAGCATAAAAATTGTAAATGTATTGAGTGTCTAAGTTATTATCTAAATTAATGAACAAAGTTTAATCAACTAATAACAACATATTTTGATTCCATGTTTACGTTTGAATTGAAACAAAATGAATGAAGAATTTTTAAATCATTGTTCTATAGCCTGTAGATTAAAATTTAAATCAATGTAATAAAGATAATTGGAATTGCTTGACCATAAAATATTTTTTATTGCTATTTTTGTCATTTTCATTAAAAATTCTATTTTCTGAAAATATCATTTTTTAATTGTAATAATTTTGATTTTGTATTCAAATTATTATTGAAGTTTCAAGCAAATTTTTTGTTTTTAATTTTTGATTTTTGTTAAACTCAAATATTTTACATAATATTGTAATTATGTATATAACCCGATATGTAGCATGCAGGGTATAAATGTACATCAGCTTACTGTCACATATAATTTTAGTGAGTATAAATAAAATTTAAAAAATTCGTGAATATTTTATCCTGCTTTCTTTGATAATAATGTGATTTATGAATACGGGATCTTCCAACAAAACGAATAAAAAAAGTTCGAGTTTGAAACTCTCTCGAGTTTGAAACTCTCTCGAGTTTGAAACTCTTTTTTTCAACCAATTCTTTTTAAATTAAAATTAAATTATTAGTAATAACTTTAAGGCAATAAATTAGGCAACAAAAATTTAATAAAATTTATAATAATTGCTAATTATTGTGGTGTATTGACCAAATTTCTCCCAATATATTTTCCCACTAAACAGAACTACAGAGTTAACTTAATCTTAACACTTAAACATGTACGTATGTATGTTAAATTAAAATAATAGAAAAAAAATTGATTAATACATCAAAAACTGATATAAAATATTGTTTAGTGAACTATAATTTTGTCATAAAATCTTACACAAGTTAAACTTATTTATGAATAATTTCACATGATGTTTCAATTTTTAATGTTAATCCTTGACATCATTACTCTTAATAGAATCATACACCATTTGGGATATATACAAAATCCTTTATATTTATTTATATAAATTTTTTTTTGTTTTATTTTTAAAAATTATGAAAATAAATTTACACCTGAATTCATGAATAAAATAGAAAAACATAAATATGATTATTCACATGTGCACCTGTGTGTGTGTGTGTGTATATAGTTATTAAATTTAATTTTTAAACAAATTATCTTGATTTCTTCATTCAAGGGATATAAACATATAGAAACTCCCCGAAATATCGTAATATAATAGAAACAAAGAAATAAAAGAAAAATTGAAAAAAAAAACAAATTTTTGGAATTCAATGATAGTATAAACGTTAGAAGTGACACTAAAGAATTTCAGGTAAAAATAACAAAAAATAACCGAAAAAGACAAAAAAATGAAAAAAAAAAAAAAACCCAAAAAGGATAAAATTCATTTGAATTCAGATCTGTTTCTTTCTTTTTTCCCAATCGGGATCATATATGTGTACCCAAAAAAATTTCATCACGTACTAAAGAATTTTCACTTTTCCGAATAATACATGACTACTATACGAGTAGTATGAACATTTTTAATATTTATCATTCTAGGAGTAGAGTATAAATATGTTGGTATAATCCCTCACCTTATGTACACTCACATAGATTCACATACATATGTACACATAAAGATTCCATTATTTCTGTACATCATTTGCAACTTTTTTATGGTAATTTTTAAAATGAAAATTACTTAACTTTGTTTACATTTCTATGATATGTGTTTTAGCTTTCATAAAAATAAAACAAAAAAATTCAAAATAAATAATATCAAAAAAAATTTTGTAAAAATTTTAGTTCTTCATCCATAATGTAAGAGAAAGACTGATCTTTTAATTTTTCATAAATTCCTTTGAAAGCCTAAGTAGGTATGAATAATATCGATTGTTGTAATAGTGGTAGATTTGGTCGTGGAATTATATAACCATCTGGATGTGTTTTTGTGGTATAAATTTTGCCTTGTTCTATGATGCCCAATTAGTACAACGTGCCCTTAATTATTGTGAGGAATTGGTCAGGGTCGATAATTGGAACAATTGCCCGGACCCTATCTCACTCCAAAAAACTTATATCTTTTGGTTATCGCTTGGCTGTCTAGAATTGAGGTTATTGGTGGGTGTATTCGTTGAATATTGCCTCTCCATGGTCAATTTAAAAAAGATGTGCAAGACGGAGGATGTGGCCTAATGTCTCTGTCTGGGGGAGTATGAAACGGTGGAGTATTTATTTTAAGAATATGAGGCTGTGGTTCGTCTAGGACTGAGATACTCCTTGAGAAGAAGAGGCTTTGTGACCCCGATGGAAGTCTCGCGACTTGAGGTGGCTGCTTTGTTGCAATTTATTAGGGGCCTAGTCGTAGCGCTAATGTAGGTGGGGATGAGAGTTACAAAACACCCTGTGGGTCGGCCTGAAAAGGCACTAGGAGCCCCAACATGAAAAAGCGAAAAAAAAAACTTAGAGTTGACACTAACAACTAAAACTTGGAATTTATACTCGTGTTGTGCATAATGTATTTAATTTATATTTTGTCACTATTGTATAGTTTTATGTACCTATAGGTATTTGCAACTTTAACTCTTAATAAAATATTAAGACATTTTATTGAATCTCTAAAAACCAAAAAAACAAAAATTGTTATACATACATATGTTATATGTAAGTACTCGTATAGAAGCAAAAATAACATAATGTTCTTGAAGAATAAAATAAAAATATCGCGTGAATTTATTTTGCAAGATAAAAATCCCTTGACTAACATAAAGTACAATAATTTGTCAACAATATAACAAACAAATTTTTGGAAAATAAACAGAAACAACGCAAAAAAAGTAACATGAGAAATGAGACCAGCCTGACACAAAGGATTCAGCTAACATTTATAATATTTTTTCTTTTTATATTTTCATAATATTTGTGCGTAGTTATATTTTATGTATACTCTTATATACATAAAATTAAATAATCAGTGTATATGTAGTGTCTTAAAGGTATACTAGATTTAAGATTTAGAAATATAATACCTAAAAGTATGCAAAATTATTTGTTCTTGGTTTTTATATCGGTAGTAAAGTATTTCTCTTTCTGGAGAGTTTTTATTTAAATTTTGCGTTCAAATGTTTTCTCGCTAATTGGTTTAAATGTCCTTACTGAAAATACTGCTATTTCATTTACCAATTAAATACATTTTAGATATATGATAGAATTGGAAATATATTATAGTTTAAAACAATAATTTATAAGTAGAAGAAATTAGTTTGCAAAAAAAATGTTTGCTGTAGCTCTTTTTCTGCGGCCTGATTCATTTATGATGCTCTGCCATGGTAATTCCCAAATAGGGTGAAGTGTGATTCATAACTCACCTGGAATTTGCAAATTTTTAGGAGTTGGGAAACTCTCGAATATTTAAAACGCAATTAAAAATCTATAAAGTTTATGAGGGGACGATATTAAAATCAAACGATTAAAGTTGCACGTACGCTTCCAGTCGGTGCGATCAATTTTTTTTTGGTTTGTGAATCAAATTGTTTTTTAATACCTATAAGTGTCAAGTAGATTTTAATAATAAAAATTACTATAATTTGTTTATATTTTATGTGAATTTTTATTGTTGTTTTGTTGATAAAAATATGCTTTGTTTTGCGGTCCAGATGATTTTGGCGGTTTTAAGTTACCTGGGCTTATTTTAGAAATAAAAGGCAAATGTGTACCGAGTACGTGTATATACGTTTTATATGAAAAACATAAAATTTCTATTGACTTTTGTTTTATTTATTTTTGTGTTTCTTTTTATTATAATTTTTTTTTTGATGATATCTAAATCTCTTGCCGCCTTAGAGGGTTAGCACATTATATATAAAATATTACATTTTAGTACTTTTTGAAATGTTTCAACTATAATTCTATTGTAGAATAATAATAAAATTATTTGTAGAAATGTTGAATAAAATATTACCGAAAATTTACAAAAAAAAATTTTTTTTTTTCATCGGAATTTTTTTTTTTTATTTAGATTTAGCTTCTTACTTAATAGTTATGTAAATTGTACTGTACCTAAAAGAATCATGTATTTCACCTTTTGTGTTGCATCAAAAAACGTGCAGAGTTATTCGAATTAAGCCGCATACCTTTTTTTTATTGTTTCTTACTTCTGCATAAAGTTTTTAATTTTATTTATTAAAAGATTTTTCGGATTTATTTTTGAAAAATAAAATATTTCGTTCTTGTGGATAATTTTTAAATGTATTTTACTGTGGATAATTGAAAAATAATGTAATTTTATTCTATTAATATAGTCCAAAGAATTTATATAAAATAAACATGAGATACCTTATCTTTAGAGTTTTATGTTCAATCAAATATGTATGTAGGTAAATAGTGTTATTTAAATTATTAAAATAAGGATTCTTTGTTATTATTTAAAAATTTAGAGCCCGCTTTAAAGTACTCAGTAAAAAATAATTAAATCATCACCCCTATTGCGCCGATTTAATATTTTGAATTTATAAAAAATTTGTGCCTATTGAGGTCAGTTTTTATTTAATAATTAATTTTATTATTAATTTTTATTCTCTATTAGTAATTACTTAGAGTCCAGCTGATGGCAAAGTGCGGTTTATTCAATTTAAAAATTGGGCCTATCATTCGGCTTACAAGAAAAAAAATTGTATTCAATGGCGACCATTAAAATTTTTCGAAAAAAATTGGAGAGCTCCATGATAGATAATACTCGTAGATATAAATACATAAAATTTCATACAAATTTTTCGTTTGTCAAAACAAAACAATCAATAAAGTGAACTGAAAATGTCATTTCTTCTTGTAAGTAAGTAATGTAAGAACCTCGAGTGGCCCATACTTATACTCACAATGTACACATTTACTCATAACCCACAAAAATTTGCAGGCGGTTAGTTTAGATTAAAATATTGAGTACTACAATGGCGTAAAGTATTGAAGCCAAGAATAACAGAATTACTGTACGATCCCCCATGGAAGTCATTTTAATATTGAAAATAGAGCTTACTATATTTAATTCAGAACAAGATTTCTTTAAAATTTTTTTTGCGGTATCGTAAGCAGAGATTTTACAAAAAGAAAATTAACCATTAAAGTTTTTCATATCATTTTCATATCATGGAAAACTTAATGAGTGGAAAATTAGTTGAAGTTTCCTATTTTCTTTATGTTTGCTAGTATTTTATGATTTTTGATAAAAAAAATTAAAATATGGGTTTTAGGTATAATTAAATTTTTTCTATACTGAAAACAAACTAGTCATAGAGAAAAAAAGTAAAAAAAAAAAATTATGAAAATTTTTTCTTTTTACATAAGACTGAGTTTTATTCATTGTGTGTATTTTTTCCGTTTTGAAAAATCTATTTTACTTTTTCTTATTCTGTTGTTTTCTTTTCTTAACTGAGATATCAAACTTATCTTTGATGTCACATAATAACCAGTAAAATCTGATAAACATAATGTATATACATATAGTTTAGGTTAAAACCTTTCATTTTATCCATGACTGAATAGATTACCCAAAATTTATTTTGAAATCGAAGGATATTGAGGAAAAGGATGAACAAAAAACAACTTAAATGCTTAAAAATAAAGCTTTAATGGTATAGAAGACTAGAAAGAAAATCAAAAAAGACTAAAAATTATTAAAAGAGAAAACTGATCAATGATTTTTGAAGGATAAGGATTTAGAAAAAAAATCTATAGGAATAGATTCAAAAAATCTGAGCATAACAAATTTTATAGGTGATTTTTATTTAATGAAAGCATTTTATTTTTACATTTTCTCGGGATATCAGGTCTTTTCAAGAAACACTAAGGAATACTCGAAATTATAAATTTATTAGCAACTAAAGATACAAATAGACGCTTTTAAAAAAATTATTAATAGTGAATAAAATCTTTCCTTTTGTCCTTTAATTAGAAATTACAAAAAAATTTAAGATAATCTTAAAATTTTAAATATTTTTAAATTCGATTTCTAGAGTGATTTGTAGGAAGTATATTAATTTTTTATATTTTTTGTTCCTAAAATTAAAACTAGATAATCGTAATGTGTTGAAGCTATTGTAAGTGAAGCATTTTTTTTTAAATTGCTTGCGTTTGCGTTCTTTTTACATGTATATAGAATTTAGTATATAGAATTTAGAATTACAAAAGTCAGTGTAATTAATTTTATTCCAATGTGATTTTTGTATAATTCTTTACTGTTCATACTACTTCATACTAATATTTATAACAATCAAATTAAGCACATTTTATAAGTGTAAGTGTATAGCTAAAGAGGTGTTACACTTTATAAGTGTAACACTCCTTTAGCTATAACAGTGATGACTTAATTGTTTTGTATATAAGCAATTAACGCAAAATCTCTAATATTTATATTTATATACTCTCTCGTCAGAATAAACACGGCGGCGGCTGCGGAATATTTGTAAACAAAAAATATGGCTGTCATCCAACATTTTCTTTCAGTGACAATAATGACAGTTTCTTGAGTGACAATATTGTAAAAAATAATAGTTTGTTCAATGTTATAAACATTTATAGATCACCAACGTCCAATCTTGATCAGTTTTTGATCACATTAGAAAAATGTATTATAAATACCAATTGTAAAATATCAACGTATATTTTTGGCGACTTAAACATTAATTTATTAATTAATGACAACAGAACGGAACGATATGTTAATTTTATGGCTATGAATTATTTTTATTGTTGTAATGCCCGTATTGTTACTAGAAATATTAGTCAAACTTGTATTGACCATATATTTACAAATAACTTAACTGATAAAATTGAGATCTCACATGCTGAAATTGATTTATTGGATCATAATGTTATGCTGGTAGAAATATTTGAACATAAAATTCATACAAGTTTAGTGAGCCCTATAAATAACGAAAATAAAATTACGATAATCAATAATAAAGCTGTATATAATTCACTACTAAGAAATCCTATTATTATTGATAATGTTAAAAGTTGTGACGTTGTATTAACTGATTTTGTTCATGAGATCCAATGTAGAGTTGTAAAAGCATCAAGCCTCAAGTCGATGAAATCAAAAAATGAAAAGCTTTGGCTTGACAGCGAATTAATTATAGCATTGGAAACTAAGCAGTTTTGGTACTCTAAATGGATTAAAGATAAAACGAACACTAACCTTGAAAGGCAGTATAAATATTTCAGAAACAGATTTACAAGCTTAAAAAGAAACAAAAGATATAATTTTTATATATACAAGTTTACATTAAATCAGGAGTCCTTGTCAAAGACATACGGCTGTATTAATGAAATTCTTTATGGTAATAACAGGCAAAAGAATAATGTTGATTTATTAAAAGGCTTAACTGATTCACAGGCTGTTAAAAAAATCAACGAGCTCAACAGACACTTCGCCAATATGTGCAAAATATTAGCAAAAAAATACTGTGACAAACTATATACACCGTCAAAAACAAGAAGCACATATGAATTTCAACTAATTACAGAAAGTCAAGTATTCAACACTATTAAATCACTCAACAACTCAAATTCAGTCGATTCTTTAAATATGTCCACAAATATGTTGAAAGCATGTAATGAAGCAATGTAACCCAATTTGTAATATTATTAATAAATCTTTTGTTGAGGGTGTTTTTCCAGATTTGCTAAAAATTTCCAGAGTGGTCCCCATTTTTAAGTCGGGCAATAAGGATGATCTAAACAACTATAGACCAATTTGTATTGCGACGGTACTGTCCAAAGTTATGGAGAAAATAGTCAACGGACAGTTGTCATCTTTTCTTGAAAGGCTTGGTTTGTTGTCAAAGAGGCAACATGGCTTTAAAAAAAAGTCCAGTACCGAATCTGCTTTAGTCGACATGTTATCTTATGTTCAAAAATTTAAAGATAATAAAAGAATGGTGGCTATTGTATTCCTGGATCTGACGAAAGCATTTGACACTGTTGACTATGACATATTGCTGAAAAAATTACATAGCTTTGGAATTCGCGGAGCAAGTCATAAGTGGTTTCATTCTTATCTAAATAGTCGCATCCAATTTTGTCAAATAGGGACTACAAAAAGCCAGAATGAGTCAATTTCTTATGTAGTACTGCAGGGTAGTGTTCTAGCGCCTTTATTGTTTTCAATTTATATGGAGGGAATAGATCAAGTTGGCATAAATGCAGAAATATTCCTTTTCGCTGATGACTTATGTTTAGTGTTTAATGATATCAATTATTACAGCTTAGAAAAGAAAATCAACGAAAACCTAGCAAAGTTAGTAGTTTGGATACAAAATCATAAATTGACACTCAATATAAAGAAAACGAAATATGTGATTATCAGTCCCACTGCCCCACCATTAAAAATCGTTATTTCTGATGAAATTTTAGAACAAGTGGAAAACTTTAAATATCTTGGTCTATGGATTGATTCGGCACTCAACTGGAAAACACATACAACATTTTTATTTAAAAAACTGTCGTCCGTTGCTGGTGTCTTCAAAAGAATTGCATACTTTTTGCCAAACAACGTGAAGACGTCCGTCTTTTATTCACTTTTCCACAGTCACGTGAGCTATGCTATAATACTATGGGGTGTTTTCTCCAAAGAAAACAGCGACAAGCTTCAAGTCATTCAAAACAAAGCGTTAAAGAACTTGTTTTTCTATAATAGGCTTGAGCATACCGAATTTATTCATAGCCAAAATAGGATATTATTGGTACAAGATTTTATTAAATACAAACTGACCTTGTATATTCACGATATCTCTAATGGAGAATTACATTCTACCACTCAACTTACGACAAGAAGTGATCATCATGAAATCAATACAAGAAGCAAACAACAGATTCATCTCGCCAAAAAGAACACAACAAAATTTGGAACATCAACATCAATCTATAAGGCAATCAAATTATATAATGAAATTCCTGAAAATATGAAGACACTCGATAATTATAAACTAAAAAAGAATCTTCGAGAAACATATATTAATAATTATAGTAGAGTATCTATTAACTAATTTCTATTAAAACTAATAAATGAATTTAAGATTAGCTTTTTTTTGCAAAAAAATTTTATAACTAAATTAACTTGAACAAGGTCTATAATTTTTTTTTTCTCTCTTTTATTTGCACTTTTGTTTGATACTTAAAAGTAAATGAAGGTTTTGTATACTTTATATTGTTTTTATAAAGCCTTTTTATGAGACTTGTCTGTTTAGGCATTTTTGTAGTTGAATTTCCTTGCGGAACAATATTGCATTTTTAAATAAGTTCAAATTAATTAGCAGTTTTATAATTTCATTAAACATTATGAACGCAAACAATATTGTCAAAGCTTTTGAATGCAGAATATCTGCAACATTCGGTCATGTTTATATAAAATATTACGAAAGGAAGCCTAATTCTCATATTAAAATGTTGACAAATAACTTTAACTGCTTCATTATAGAGAACGTTCTATTATCGAATTGAACAAAATATTTAATTTCGAAAATTAGTCTAGACTGCTTTTAATTTATTATAGTAAGCATTATTTTTTTATTTTTAATTTATTATAGTAAGCAGAATTTTTTCTGTAATTTATAAACAAGGCTACATATACAATAAACATAATAAGCAATTATATTTTTCTTCATGTTAACAAAAATTAAAAATAAATATTTTTTAATAAAAAAAACTTTTTATAAATTTTAAATGCCCTGCAAAGAAAATCTTTCAATTTAAATAAAAAGCATTCTATATGAAGTATGTATGTGTATATATAAAATGCTTGTAGCTGGTTGTGCAAGAAGAAAGGTGTGCTTATATCAATAACAACTCAACAATATCGTTGAAAAAGTAAAAAATTGCTTTTCAATAATTTTCTTATCGCTATTTTTTTTTTCTTCTTATTTATTTTCTTTTTAAGTTTGCGAATTTTTCAAAAAAAAATAATAATAACAAATAAACAATGAAAACAACGAGCAAATGTTGTTTTTGTTTTATGTTTTTATCGTATTTTTTTCTTTTTTGTTTACGAAGGATGTTTGGAAAATCGTTTGAGTTTTCCTTAAGGGTAAAAATTTTTCAATTTTATGTCATGTGAATTTAAGTATGTATTTCATTAATAATTTTAGGAATACAATTGGAAATAAAAAAATTGGAAAAAAATTGCGAAAAATTGAAATTTCTGTTTATGAAAATAAAATATTAAATTTTTGATTGTGTTTAATTTTAATTTTATACCTACATTTTTATTTTTATAAATACAGAACAAATTTTAAGAAAATGCACAGTGAAATTTTTATATCTCCATATATATTGATACCGATATACAGCAATCCAATTAGTCAATAATTGAAATATGAGAAAAATTTGTGGTCTATTAGTAAAGCTTTCTATATTATACAGATTTTATTTATTCAGTTCAATTTTCTGAGTTTTATATTATGTTATTATCTACATATTTCAAATTGTATGTTCAGGGCTGTATTAGTGCTGTATATTTAGTGCATTATATAACAATTTTACGTACATTATTATAAAATGATGCACCGTGTACGTGATCAAAGAAATTTTACGATTTAATTTTTAACAATACTATCAGCTTTTTGAAATAAAAATATTTTTCTTAAAAATTTTTTCAAAGTGAATACATGAATTGATTCGCATACACATCAAAAAATTAATAGTGAATTTTAGGAAAAAGAAAGAAGAGAAAATTTTAAAGCTTTTAGAAAGGATTGGTTTTAGAAAATATACGAAATATATTCATTTCGTTTTGAAATTTTGATATTTTTCGAAAATTTCTTAATTCTGTCCCGAATTTCATGGAAATTTATCGAGATTATGAAATAGTATTTGTTTCTCTTGTTTAAAATTTACTTTACATTATGATGATAATTTCAAAATACTCGAATATACAACTACTATTAAATGTGCAGGAAGTGACGGTGTTATATAAAGCTTTACTTGCTTCACATGTAAATTTACGGTATAAATAAGAAAAATGTTTGTGTTATAAATAATCTAATATGGATAAACTATGAAACATGGTAGTATTACACGCTTTATGATTATTTTGAAAAAATATTTGCGTAAGATAAAAACGTTTGATATTCCAGTTTTAAAAATAAAGATAGATTTTCAATTCATTTACTATTTTTACAATTTTGGATTACCGGAGAGTAAGAATCTGCAATTTCCTACATGATGCTCTAAAATGTTTAATTTATGTCAATATTTTCTTTTTTATTTTTTTTTTTAAATTTTTTTTATTTCGCAAAATTTAGTTCAAATTTATTAGTGAAATAATATTAATCATAGCCTAAATGTAAGCTATGAACTATATATTCAATTTGTAATCAATTCCAAATTTAAGCTTTTTATATGCTTGGAATGCCATCCAGCATGATTGTATTTTTTGTTTTTTTAAGTGTTTTAAATTTAAAATAATATTTGGCATAAAAAAGACTATTGAAGTTAAAGTTGAGAAAAATTGCATATTTTTAGGGGACCATTAAATTATTTTTTGCAAAAAACACGCTAAGCTAACTCTTGTGTTAGCAGAATAAAATGTAAATCTAAAATTTAAAAGTTTTGCTATTCGTTTATATGTGACAATTGTTTTAAGGAGCAAATCGTTTAGTGCAAGAAGCATAACACAATATTTTCTAAATTTTTTCGTAACTTTCATTAGCGACCAACCAAAATAAATCTGCTGTTAACGTTTGGTTCTCGAGTCAACCAATTATATTTCTCTTTTTAAACAACCACATAATAATTTTATTTAAATTTTCGTCTTTAAATGTATGCAAAAATTTTAAATTTATTTCAAAATATTAGACACCAATAATTTTCTTTCTTATTTCTTTTCAAATAAAAAATATTTTATTTATTTATTTATTTCTTTTTTAATAGAAATTAGATCACGCGTCTAATGTGGCACATTAAAGAATATTTAATTTATAATCAATTCGCTTGAGAAAGTCAAAAGATTTCAATTACAAAATATTTTATTGTAATATTGTTGTTTAACAGAAAAAAAAGAAAGGAATTTTAATTAAAATTTTGTTTTCCCTTTTTGTTTTGTTGAATCTAAAATAAAGCAAATTTTTTTTGGTATATGGAGACCTATTTTACTAAAACATGTAGGCAATAAGGTAACGGATATAAAAAATTTTTATTACATACAATATTATAATGTTACAAATACAATTTATAACTGCTAGAATTTCCACAAAAACAATGTCCTTGCGTATATATGACGAAGGCGTATATTTCATGGATTATTTAACATTTTTTTGTAGATTTGTAAGGGAACCGAGTAGAGCAGGAGTATCTTCCGGACCACCGTGACTTATTTAAACCTCGTGACTTATTTTAACCTCCCCACGGCCCCACCTACAATATACCGGTTCCAAGTGTGAAACTGAAGGCATCCCGAAGGGAGTTGAACAGCAGTTCCCGAACGCTTAGGAAAACCTGTCAAAAACAATTGTGCCGCCGGACAGGCAGTTTATATTATTTTACACTTACTGTTTGATTGATTTAAATACTGCTATCTCCATAATTTGTAATTAGAATTTCATATGAGCCCATTTTTGAAGTAAAAGCTAAGATTTTAGGTTTTTATTTGAAACTAAATCTGGCTTTAAATACGAAATATAAAATTTTAAAATATTTGATTTTATTTTCTGTTTCTAGAGACTTATATAAAAACTATAAAAGACTTGTGTATAAAAATAAAATACTAAATGTAGTTGTGGGTGTATACAAGTGATCCCCAGACCTATTACACCAATTAATTTGTACTATTTTTTTACTATTTTTTAATAAATTATTAAAAAAAAATTTGCAAAGAGACTGAATTGCATCAGGAGTAGAAATGCTAATGAACTATATTCGGCGCAGTAGGTCCCAAATTCAATAAGCAATGTAATCAATATGCAAATATCTAAATTTCTTTACATTTTAAAAGTAAAAACTCCTTATTTTGGGCTTGCATATTTGTATTGAACATATTATTGCATTAAATGAGTTGTTTATTTGGGAAGCAGATTTTAGTGAAATTACTTAAAAAAATGTGCTGTCTATGGTAAATTAAAATCTATAAAATTTAAAATAATTTTGTTATTTGTTTGGATTTTCATATAAAAATCTTTAAAAACTGCTCTAGTACATACATAAATAAATTTCTGGAAATTTTCAATCTTCCTTTTTTTTTAAAGTATTTTTCGGTGTTGTATTATGGTTAATAAACGATTGAAAAGTATTATTTTTTATTCTTGTCAATATTTATTTTTGTAATTTTAAATTTTCTACATGGAATATTTAATAATTTATTTACCTTTTAATGCGTATATGATTTTCATTGCTTATTTTCTACTAAAAATTATTGTAAGTAGGTACATATTACTAAATACTTGTATGTAATTTATAAGGTAAGATTATTATTCCACGAGTACAGGATATTTGATCGTCAATATCGTATATAGGAGAAAAATAAACATTAGAGAACGCACAAAAGAAAATATTTTTCTCAATTTATTTATTTTGTTCGTCTTTTTTTCTATTTTTTTTGTTCTGGTTATGATTCTCTGAAAATTATGAATTTTCGAAGGATATTCTTAAAATGGAGTTTTTTTTTTATTTGTGTTTGTGTTAGGTAGATAACGGTTCTATATAATATCTTTTTTTTTATTTGTGGGTTTTAATCAAAATATTTTTTTTTTAACAATAATTTTTTGCCATTTTAAATTTAACCCGGAAAAAAATTGAACTAATGTTGGTGAAATAGGAAAAACAAAATACACAGAAAAAAAAAATCAACTGAATTTTATGTTTATTTTTCCACACGAATGTTCCTTTGTATTCACAATAGAAATTTTAATTGAAAATATAAAAAAAAAAAAATTTGGAAAAAAAAAGGAAACACTTAAATTACAATTTTTTTATTTGTGGTATGTGCCTATATTTTTAGTTAAATTGATTTTTATACTAAAGTTACTTTCCCTTTTTTTTTTATTTTTATTTAGGA